GTAGGATGTTGAGTGTGTGAATACAAACAAGGTAAACTGTACCGCTTTATAGAATGCTAGAATGATTTAAGAATTGTTTGCTTTGTGAAAATGTGTATTTTTGTTTTATTTTGCAACTTGTTTGAATACTTGTTTCACTTAGGTCCAAAAGCCACAAATTATGAGAAACCTCTGTTGTTTACTATATGCTTAGGATGACTGATAAACTTTGTTTAATTCGTTTGATTCATGCTTTATCTTTTGATTATTGTGATTTTGTAGAAGCATTAGAAATGATCAAGGCATTTGTTTATATTGAGCACAACCGTATCCAAAAAGTAACTTACCTGTGAGCAGTGAGTATTTGTTAACTCCTTTTAGCCTAAACAATTTAGATCTCATTTTAGTGACGAACTTGATCTATGTACATAATTTGAAAGTTTTGTTCATCATTGAATTTTGTGAGATTCTAAAAATTTCTTCTTGAACCTTTAAACATTGTTTAAATTGATTTCCTTGCCATAAAAAGCAAGGAACATTCACTTGAGGTTTGGTTGAATTCAAGTTGGGGAGAATGAAAAAGAAGAATGGTAGATTGCTAAAACTTTTGAAAAATTTCAAGCAAGTATGAAAAGAAAAAGTGTGAATATGAATGTGGAAAAAAAATAATGATTGTTTGAAAAAGATAAATAGAGAATGAAATAATTGTGCAAAAGGAAGTTTGAGAAGATTTGAAATAGAGGAAAGAAAGTGGTGAATGAAGTTGTGATGTGTAAATACCTTGTATAGTGAATATTCTTTTGCATTGACAACTTTGATTCCATAGTCTTAAGAAATAACCCTTTGTTGTAAACCCGACCAAGCTACAACCTTGAAAGCCATTAGTGATCTTTTTGCTTCCATGTTTTCATTTTTGATTGTTATATGATTGTATGAATTAGATTGTTATTAGCATTGTTTGTCAGGTAAGTGAAACTTCTCGCGGTTGCAAACACGTTAATTTCTTAATTCTTATTTTATAGTGGAGAGTTAGAGTGATTCAAGTATGAGAACTTAGTTTTTATTTGAAACATTGCATGATATTTGTTTAATAACTAAATTCTTTGTTATTGTTCGATTCTATTAAGTGGTGAACATTACTTGTACGTATTTTCATGCTTGACCAAATCCTCTTATTTGAGCAAATTTCTCTTGTTTGAACTTGAATCGTTAATCTTTTCTTGGTTGAATCTTATACTTAAGAAAATCCTTTTATTTAAGCAAATTTATCTTGTTTTCATAAAGGGCATACTTTGCTTGAGGACAAGTAAAAATTTAGTCGGGAAGAGTTTGTTAAGTGCAAATTTTGACTAAAAATGAACTATCTTTCTTGGCATTTTTTAACTCATATGTCATATTTTTATATATTTAATTATTATTCTTGTGTGATTCCTCAATTATATTGCAAATACCTTTGGATTCTTTGATGTATTTGTTATTGTGCAGGATATAGACATAAAACATCAATGAGTAAGACACAAAAGATTGGACAAGGAAGCCAAAGAAAATGTGAAGATTCTGCAATGCTCGTTGGCCGAACAGTAGTGAGCAGCCAGCGAATGGTTGCTGGGAAAAGTATCAGCGAGGTCCTAGCGAGGCGGAAACCTTGAAAGTCAGTAGCTAAAGGACCCAAAATTTGCCATGCGAACTTGTAGCGAGTTAGTTCGCAGTGCAAATAATTACTCGCACGATGAACTCAGATATTTTCCAAGAGCGGTTTAACTGTTCATGAGGCACTTCAAGTGCTAAAAAGAGGACTTCGCTAGGCGAATAGGTAGTTTATTGTGCGAACATGACAAAATTTGTAAATACTATATAAGTATTTTTCTTGCTTTTTAGAAACATATGATATATTTTTTGGATTAAAATTTTATCTCTCTTCATTCCAAGTATATTCTAGAGAGAGAAACACAAATCCTAAGAGGGAGAAAATAAAATCTTCAATCTCTTGTTGGGTTTGGATGTAATCATTTGATACCTTATGTATCTCATTTAATGTATGTTTGTGAACTAGTTTTGATTCAATATTATTGATTGTCTTTGATTGCTTATTTGTGAGTCTTGACAAAACTCTTTTCAAATCTTTGGTCTTAGATTTTCATCTATCAATGAGCAAACTTTTGACATGATTTTGTAAGTTGATATTCATTTGCATCATATTGTGTTGATTAGTAGCATGAGTAGCATGAATAGGATCAACACGGTAGAGACCGTGATAGAGTTCTTAACGCGGACGGTATTGTGATGATGCATGATAATAGAGATGAGAAACTTGTTCACATACATTTGGAAAATTATGTGAATGCGTGTAAAAAGGGTTAATTATGTGTATGTATTATAATCATGGCGTTATATACGAATCAAATCATTAATTTGATATGGATGTTATAATAATATTTGTTGGGTCTAAACTCTAGACATAGATTTAGGTTTAACATTCACGTGAGTATCAGTTCTTAATGCTTTGTGTTGGTTTTGTTGCGTGAGATATCATGGATGAGACAATACGGTTAGTCTGTCGACTTTGCATTAGATATAACCTCTGTTGTGGGTGATACGTGATGATATTAAACGAAAATTTAAGTTGTGTATAACATGATTAGAAGAATGCATGTGTTATTAATTGATGAGATCCAATTCCAGCAAGGCTCCGTTTATATTTTCAGTCATTATCTTTTTTGCCTTTATTTTTTGTGCCTAAAATATTTCAACCAAACTTTTGCACCACAAGTTTAGAAATATAGGGACCGTTGGACGACGTTCTTTTCCTTGCACCGATCCTTGCAGAGACGATATAAACCCCGGAGGGAATTCCTTCAAAACTAAATTTTTTCTTCTTGTCGCTTTACTGCATTTTGAACACTGAGGCCTGACCTTTTTAAGTAAATAGACTTATAAAATAACCTAGACCTTTTTCTATTTAAAAAAAGTCTGACCTGGCCTAAGCCTGTGTAGGCTAGGTCGTAGGTTTCTATTAGTCGGTCTGACCTATTCCCAACCCTATCTGCTACTCAAAGATTATACTTAATTGCAGTGATAAAATTCTGATAACTAAAACTACATAAATGGGAAAAGGAAAATTGCAGTAAAAAAATATGCATTTTGTGTTAATATGTTGTTGAATAAAATCTAAAATGGCAAAACTTCTAATCCCTAAAATTACATTCTAAAATTACAGCATAAAATTGATTCTACAAATTCAGACTTCAAATTGAAAAGGGGCAAAGTCGTTGCATAAAGAGACACCTTACGGTGGCGGATATTGTAAAATAAAAAGAGCAAAATGGAGCAGAGTGAAGTAGAATGGAACAGAATGAAATGAAATAAAAATGTTATTATATTATTTGAGTATTTTATGACCGGATAGAACAATTTTGTCTTCACGCTTAAACCAGAGGGTACAAAAAATGATAAAATGAGATAGAATGCATTTCATTCGTTTTCGCTCTATTACATCTTTTTTAATTAATTCAAACAATAAAATATATATGAATTTAATTGGTATGCACTGACAGTGTAATTTTACACTGTCAACCAATCACCCTTGTGTATCCGGCTATATCAGACTGTAATTTTTAAGTTAACAGTATGATATGACAGATTAATAAATTTCTATTAGATAACAGTGTAAAATTATTTTATGCTGTCACTGCATACCAATTAAACTAAATATATATTTATATGATTTCATTCTATCATATTCCATTCCATTTCATCAATCCAACCATGCCTTAGAAAAATTACTTTCCATTTCATTAATATGATAATTAGCTTTTCAATGTTTTCCTTTCGGTTTTTTCTTTTTTAAATTTTATAATATAAATATAAAAGAGATTAATTAATATGTTTTGTCAGTGTAATTTTCTTTTTAATATTTGTTGCATTATAACAATTCATAAATACTATTTTAAATATGATTAGAATAAAATTCAAACACTTATAATAATTTAACGATTACAATTATTTGACACTATAAATTACAGGTATGCTATTTCTACACCCTTTCTTACACCTTACACCTAATGTACTGTTCATAAATATATGAAAAAAATGCTCAGAACATGGTTAATGGTATGTATTTTATTGGTTAATGAAGTAGTGAAAGTGGTTAATAAATTATAGGTAAAATAATTGGTTAATGATGTAGATTTTTGTGGTTAATGCAACTGTGAAGTTGGTTAATGCGTAAAATTATATTTGTGTTATAAAATAAATTTTAAAAATAAATATTTTTTTTTAAAAAAATTAATATTTTAAAAAAATATATTATTTTAATAAAAAAAACACTGTTCACCGTATAAATACGGTGAAAAGTGCATACGGTGTATGTATGGGGTGTAAGAAATGGTGTCAAAATAGCATTTTTCTATAAATTATGGAGAGATATTAGAATTTGTGTGGGGAATTGTGGTAAAGACTCTGGTTCGACAATAATGTGTCTTGCAAGTTAGGATTCAAGCATCGAATTTTGGAGGAATAAATGGCTAGGCAAGGAATCATTGTTGCTGCAATTTCCTTCTCTTTTTAAATGCTTGTAGGTTAATAAGATCAAGATCTCCAATGTCGATTATTGATGTAATGTTAGTTGGTGTTGAAACATTCAGACTGCACCTGCATCATTTTCTGTTGCCGCTGCTATAAAATGGGATGAGCTTCAATGCATTCTAAATCCGATGCATTTGTTTGGTGACAGGTAGCTTCGGTGTCAAGATCTGTGTATCGCCCTCAATTAATTATTTTCTTGAATTATATCCGAATTCTTTTTGTATTAAAGATTAGTACCCCTATATTCTTATTAATATATGCTTATAAAGAAAAAATAGTTTTATACTTTTGATAGATGCATATTAATTAAATTCAATAAAAATTTGTATAAAATAAAATAAAAAATCTTGAAACTTATCTCAATTCTCAATATGCCTACTCTACCTTATGTTTTGTGAAAATGGTGAATCTCTATCATTCCCTGACCTTTCTCCACGATGAACCTAAATTTACAAACAAACCCACCAATCCAAACCAGAATTCATCATCTTCCTCTTTCACCAAACATTCCAATTCCCCTTCAAAACAACAGATTCAAATGCATTACTGCAAAAGCCACCAACGAATCAGTTCCATTGCCAACCATGTCCGAAATTCTAGAATCATCAAAATCACAAAACCTCGACCTTCACCTCCAAACCCTAGGACCCTTTTTCAGAATCACAGCAAAGAGTTTGATAACAGATAGAGAGCTTGGAAAAGCTGAGGGGTTGATAAGAATTTGGTTTGGAAAAGGTAATATTCTTCACTTGGACTCTATTAAACTCCAAAGAGAAACACTTGGTATGGAAAAATCAATCTTTGGACTTGGTTTGTATATTGGAGCTGTTGCTATTCGACATGGATATGACTCTGGTTGCAAAACTGCTCAATTACTTGCTATCAATGATTCTGATCTTTACCATTCTAAGGTCCTCTTCTTAATCACCAATCTTATCCTTAACTTCACTTTTTGTTTACTATCTGCTATGTAGATTTTGTTTTTTATTTTGCTAAATGATTATGCAGTTAAATATTTTTTTTTAGCATACACATTAGTTTAAGAATAATGTTGAAATGTGCGTTATGATTATTAGTGATTAGTGATCATAGGTCCAAGTATGTTTGGTTCAGCGGTGAAAAAAAATTGATTTTGAGGAAATTGATTATGGTTAAAAGTGACTTGAATGTAAAGTAATTTATACTTGAATAATTTAATGCAAAATTGAGTTGAACAATACATTTCAATGTAAAAATCACGATTAAACTAAAAAACTACAAATTCTAGCTTCAAATAGAATCAATTCTAGAGACAGAATAAATTCTACTTTAGAAGAACTAAACAACTCAAAATCATTCCAAAATCAAATCTACACCTCTAAAATTGCTTTTGGCTCTTCGAACATTTAGGGTACATGGGACTAGTCCTAGAATGGTTCTTTAATGTTTTTTTCCTTCTAAAAACAGCTGATTAGGTTCTACACAAGACTTGGGTTTAATCCTGTTTATGAAGTGACTGGCTCATCTATTGGGGATCTAACACACATGCTTGTTTGGGGAGGAGTTGGTACTCGCATGGATGCTAGTGTTGAAGAACTTATGATAAAATGGTGTAAAAGATTTAAAAAGACAAGTAAGTTAAATTATGGTTAAGTATGACTTCTATTTGTTTTTTCATGATTTAAATATGACTTCTACATGTTTTGTCATGATTAAACTGCAATATGTTTTGTCATGATTAGACTGCAGAAACCCTACTCATGACCTCTAAAAACTTGAGACGGCTTGCATAAAATGGATAATGCATTTGTCTGTAAAATATGTGCATTTCAGTGATTATATAGCATACAAAAGAATACATTATACATATTGCATTTGTCTGTAAAATATGTGCATTTCAGTGATTATATAGCATACAAAAGAATACATTATATATATGTAGATATATCTTGCAAAGAATATTCATGATTGTTATCATTATCACATTTATTCATCGTTTGTATTTATTTTTGAAAGTGTAATTTGCTGCTTCAGGTGTACGTGAAATACAAAACTAGAACACTAAGACACTCAAAATTACAGTTACAATGAGCAATGAGAAGGACTATTATTGATGTATAGTTGTATATTCTTTCTTTATCGATTGCCAAACCGCGCATATGTATATTTACAGATTCTCTGGCAAAACAGAAGGAAACTGGTAAGGATTTTGAAGGTAACCGTGCTTTTCTGATTGAGAAATTGATAGTTTAAAGGTCATTCTTTTTCATAAGCAAGTTTAGTAATTTTCCTTGTGGAAAACAAATCTAGTTGTGGTTTTGGTGGAAAATTTGGTGCACAAATTCTTCAATTCTGTTGCTAGGTTAGATGGTCCACAATAAAAAACTCCTGTACAAAAAATTCGCATTCATAGTTAGCTTCGAAGAAAACATTTAACCTCAAAATTGAAGGGTTGGATGAAGCTTTAACATATAAGTCATGAGTTTTTGTTATAAAACAATCCTAAATTACAAAGATGTTTCTCTCACCAATTTTAGCTCCTACATGTTTTCGAGCCAATCTGGAAAATATGTTGAACCAATTTGGTCGAGCAAAATGTGTATGTATCTGAAAATTCCGACAAAATCACTATATTTTCATAATTTGGTTACACATATAATGCTCAAAGTTAAGGATAAGATGCACTTACAGGAGTCCTAGAAACTATGTCGATGCCATTCTTGGCATGGTTTAATGCCTGAATGACACTTAGTAAAGCCGAACGAACATCTCCCTCAGGATATACACTAGTCAGGAAATTATGCATCTCCACAACCGACTTAAAAAGATTACAATAAAATTATAATGGTTAGAAAATTCTTGAAGATCTTAATTACGTCTTTATGATAAGTTGCAGCAGGCATAGATACATACCTGTTGTTTGGTTGAACTTGCAATTTCCTTGATTACATCTCTAAACCAATCAAAGGAGTTTTGTTCTCTTGTAACCCAATATAAATAAGCTTTTGAAGGTGAATCCTTTGTTAAGCTGCATTCTCTGAGACCACTCTATTTTCAAATGCCCAAATGTGTCATTTGTTTCATAGAATAGAAGCAGAGAAATTGAATTTTAGGGAAGGCACTATCACACATTTCTAAGAAAAAAATAGTAACAAAACAAAAGAAGTTTACATGATCAGTCTGTGCCGTCATCTGGACACCATTAGCAACATCTTTGAGGATGCTAATGAAAGGCGTGGCTCCGATGCCAAGACCAATAAGTACTAGAATGTCATACTTTACATGGTCCTGAGAAGCAGAACCATAAGGGCCGTCTATGTACAGTTTTGGACACCCTTGTAACCCAGACAACACTGCCTGCAGAATATTGCAGTAACAAATTTGAGATTGCAAAATTTTGAAAAGTATATACTTCTGCATTTTAGAAAAAATGTCATCTTGTAATCTTTACCTCTTGGAATAGAGCATATATTTGGTAGCTCCAGTCACCGAGAGTTCTAATGTGCACACTGAGGTACTCATCTTGTGGTCCTGATGTCAAGGAAAATGGATGCCTGAAATTTTACACAAGAAATTCAAAAAAAGAACATCAGTATTGATCAATCAATCTCATACTGCAAGAATCCCTTAGATTAATGTTATATGAAAATGATGAAAGGTTGAATATTGAATGAATACCATTGAAAGGGCGAAATTTGGGGGCACTGGATGAATATATACATGCCACTTCTGTACTTAAAACCGTCTGGTTTTTGCATTTTGAGGTGCAGAACTTTTCCTGGATAGAGACTAGCCTGCATGGAAAATCAAAGAAGGAAATCGATAACAGAAGTCGGTAAATATTCGATCATAAGAAACTGAAAAGTTAAAGCAGACGCTTTTATGCATATTTTGAACATAAAGAAAGTTGATCAAATACCTTCATAATATCAACTTCATAAGATCCTGATCTAATGGCTCGAAAGATCCTCTCTCCGACGTACAATAAAACAGGAAAAGCAATGTACATCCATGTCTGCATGTAGTAAGATAAACATATAGAAAATGAAATTCTACACAAAATCTAACAACCACCGTAATATTAGTAACATATATAATCATTACATTAAGAAAGTAGTAAGATTATAGTAACTAGAATGGAGAGGCATATACCGTTTTCTCGATCCATTTGTCGGTTAGGAACAAGAACATGGAGTGAACAATGAGCAATACATAGACAAGAACAAACAGATGGTGAGAATACCAAAAGGTGTTGTAACCAGTTACCCTTCTGAGGGACAAAGGCAACACAGTCGAACGACGCCTTGGCCACTTCGTTGCAAGTGAAAACGCAACGGCCATTAACACCACCATTCCAATCCCACTAGCTACTTCTGTTGTGGCCAAAATCTCCATGTAGGTAGGTTGGTGGTAGCCAAATCCTGCCGCTATTGTTTGCCGGAAAATTGATTTGTCAGAATCACTAATTCTTGGAAAATCACATGTAAGATGTGTCCCACCATGCAATATCACACCCACCACTATTCCTCCTGCAATAAGCTGCATAAATATTCCAGAGCTAGCTCAGTCAGTAGTTTTGCAGAGACGGAAGTTCGAAACCGCGACATCTCAAAGCACTGAAATAAAATAATGAAAAACAGTTACCTTATGAAAGTTAATGTTGTCATTAAAAGGAACAACATAGTTAAGACGACGATTCTTTCGCAACCAAGTGATTGTGTTTCGACAAACAGGAAGAAGAACAAGAGCCATATTGAACTTCAATGTCTCAGCAGCACCTTTAGCTGTTGGAAGACAATAACCCATAACTTCAAAACCTGATCTTTTACGATACTGTTCAAATTTCCAACCAAACAAACCAAAACAACCAATCAACCAAACCATAACAACCCAACAACGTCTCCAATATGTTCTAAACAACACTTCTGTTTTCGACATTCTTTCTTGTTCTTCTTCATATTCCTCACTCTCCTCTTGTATAATCATTTCTTTTAATTTCATCGCTGGAGAATGTTCCTTTAATAAACTTGCCTTCAATACACTCTCCATTTCACATATCTACACATATATTTATGTCACCAATAATAATTATTATATTACACTTTTTTTCATTAATTAATCATTATTAATAATTAATAATTAAATAGTACTACCTCAATGTAGCCTTTGTTTTTCTTGTCCACAGATTCCATTATCAAACCTGCATAATCTTCTGCTTCATCACGTGTCACCGATAGCTTATTTATGGAAGCGGTTAATAATATTGTCTGCATAATGCCATCAATTAGTATAACTTAATTAATAATAATTTTTTATTAAATAAAATAAAATAAAATAAAATAACCTGTTTTATATCTGTCTCAGTAATTCTTCCATCCATGTTTCTATTACACCTAAAGTAAACACAAACAAAGACAAAAAAAATTAAAAAAAAATTATAAATTGTGAAAATTAATTTGGATAATTTATTTTTACATGTCAAAGAACATTCGCATTCTTGAGTTAAAAGAATCATCATTCATCCGTAACCAAAAAGTATGCAATTCAGTTTTTGTGATATCTGATTTCCAATCCTTGCATCCTCTTAATGCTCTTAACAACTCTCTAGCCAATTCTGGTGATGATTGCATCCCTATCCCTATACATTAATAATTGAAAAAAAATAAGATTAAATTAAACAGGTAGGTACTATATAGCAGATATGAAAATTGTTAATTAATTAACATTAACATTACTCATAATTGAAATAAAGTAAAGTATATAGAAAATGAATAATACAAGTTGTCTTATATAGTGGCAATTTAGTGTATGCATTGAACATGGGTAAGGTGGCTAATTAAGTGCTTTATTGAAACTTAGCGGTGACACAAAGGACATTGAAATAGACTGATCAACGACACCGTTTTTGGCTATCACAATCATAATGAATTATTATTATGATAATTGAAACACTTTTGATGATAATAATAATTAATTTTATGAATTAAATGTTTGACTTAAGTAGTTTCATGTATTGTCACTCACCAATGCAAAACCCGAATTCGGGCCATGAAATAACCGGTTCAGGAGCGTTCCCGGTCCAAGCCACTTGGTTGAACCGTTTTTCTACATCTTTCCATTTCAGTATTCCGCCGTGACCGAAAATATCGTTGAAGAATCTCATTCCCATGCTTTCAAATTCAATTGCTTCATTTTCTGCCACGTAAGCGTTGGACCGGGTTCGAACCGGAGTGAATGAATGGATAGCATTTTCAGTGGTGTATGAAGAAGAAGAAGAATAAGATAATGAGGAAGATGAAGGTGATGATTTGAAGAGAGCTAAGAGAGAAGTTTTGGACTTGACATGTTCTTCATCCATGGATGAGTTTTGAAGAAGGAAGGTTTTATGATTAAGTTATGTATTAATGGTGTAATGAAATTGCTTCCATGAAAAGAAAGTGATAATAGAATTTTTATCTATTTATTAAGTAGTAGTAGTAGCTTAGAGTTAATTGAATAATTGAATTAAAGTTTGACCCTAAAAGCAGTTAGATGTTAGCTGGAGTTTGCAAAATGGATTAGTTTAAAATAGTTTAGTGATAGAAGAAAATGGGCATTTTCTTGCCATTCTTTTCATGAGATTTTTTGGAATAGAGTGGTTGAGTAAGAATAGATAAAATACAGGTTTGATATTTGGTTTAATGTATTATTTGTATGGTTTGGTGGAAGGGTGTGGAATATGCTGTATAGTTAAATGAAGCTAAGTAGTAGAATTTTTGGTGAATGTTAGTCAAATTAAGTGAGGGTGGGTGTAAAAGGTTAACAAATCCATGGTAATGAAAAGCATGTGACATGGATTAGGGAAAAAGATAATTAACAAAGTTACAATTTCATTTTTCTAACTGCTATATAAAAAAAGATAAGAATTTGTGGAATTATTCTTCTTTGTATATGCAATTTGGAGGCATAAATCGACATAGTGCTAGTAGTATTATTTTGGGTAAGAAAGAAACACTCATTACTCACATGTCACTATCACTATGCCTCATGGTTTTTTTTGTGTCTGTTTGGCTTTATACTCATTCATCGAATAACATGCATATAATTTTAGCACCTATTAAATTTCTAGTAATCATTGTTTTGGTTCTATTTAATTTGCATACACTTAAGTTTATAAGTTATCAGGTATTTCTATTATGTATGGTTGATATATATATAAAATCAAAATTAAAAAAAAAAAACCTGTTTTAATAAATATAGAAAAAATTTAAAACGTGTAAACCAAACGTGTAATTTAATTTATCATATAGAAAATGATTAAAACACATTATTTCTATTATATAGTATAATAACAAATGAATTAATATTTTATGACAGATATGTTTAAAAGATTATTAATCTAAATATTTATAAATTATAAAGATTGACTTGTTGAAAAATGAAAATTAAATGGCTAATTTATTAAGAAAACCGTGTGACTTAAAAAAAGATAAAAATTAATTTGATGCATTATTTAAATTAATTTATAATCGTTAAATCAATTCAATTAATAGTTATAGACATTTGATGTAAAATATTGATTCAAACTTGTGATATCTGATTTATTTATTTTTAGGAGGTAAAATTTTAATTACTATATTATTAAAAGATTAAAAGTTATAAACTTAAATTATGAAGAGTTTTATTGGTGGGCTTTTAAAAAGAAAAATCAGTGCTTGTTCTAAATAAAGCAATGTGAGAGATTCCTGTAAAACTTTGAATGAGCCACATACGCATTTTCAATACAATTACACAATTTTTTAAGAGAGTATTTTGTGAGGGGGTATGCCACATACGCTACCTTGTTTTGTTGAGGAATGTTGCTTAACGAAAAAATAAATCAACGAAATTGCTTGCAAATTGGGGCATAATAATTAATTAATAATTTTAAAATATAAAATAATTACAATAATATTCTTTGACTTCTAACGTATGTGATATGCATGTAGTATCTTGATACACGTTCTTTGCAACCTTATTTTACATATTTTAAACATTTTTAGAGAGTATATTTTTGAACCTAAAGAGCAAACAGACAGCTGAGGCAAGAGACTTGAGAGTTTGTCAATAATTAATTATTAATAAAAATATTGTTTAAATTTTTTAAGTTATTTTAAAAAAAAATTTTGTAACGCTTTAATCCTTTAAGTTAAGTAACGTTTGCGTCGTTGATCTTTTTAAAAATTTTTGTTACAATAAATTGCAAACTCATATATCATTTGAACTGATTTTTTGCGCTGATCACGAATATGCAATCAAATTTATTAAATAAGTTACGGTTCATGAGAATCAGAAAAAAATACATAATGGAAAATCGTTCGATCCGACCAAAATACACAATCAAACGCAAAACTAATTACATATTCGTGATCAGCACGAAAAACTAGTTCAAGTGGTATATGAGTTTGCAATTTATTATAAAAGAGATTTTTAAAAAGGTCAACGATGCAAGCGTTATTTAACATAAAGGACCAAAACGTTACAAAAAATACTTAAATGACTAACTTGATATTTTAAAATAACTTAAATGACTAAAATAATATTTTTGTCTTAATTATTTTAGGCCAACCAAAAGGCTCATGCATCAAGTTCCAATTGAAGTAGCACAAGGAAAGGCATGAGAGACATATGCAACCTCACTCAACACTCAACACGTAATTCCGACCTTCTACCAACGTTTCACCGTTAGATCTAATTAGTGCTGAATTGTAATTTCTAATGTCGAAACAGGTTGTTTGATAAGGACAAGAAAATTGTCGAATAGCCTAGTGTATGTCGAAACACTTAGTTGTCAAAGTGTTGAGGAGTTAGCCTCGATATGAATTTTGTCTCAAACCTAATTTTGTAGTATTAACATAATTACTTATTTTGAGCTTTTTGTTTTATGGCTTTACTTAGGGAGCAAGTAAGCCAAATCTATAAATCGAGAGTAATCCCTATTATTGTAATGTTATTCACTTCGATAAAATTGCAGTTTTGAGATAAGAGAGTTACTCTGCATGAATTCTTCTTCTTTCCAATTCAATTTTCTTTTCTTATTTTCATCACCATTGTGTAGCAGCACAATCTTGCAACCAAGGTTGGTTGATGTGTTGAAAAATTAATATAAACTGAATGCATCGAGGCTAGAATCGTGAATGATATCACTTTCCTTAAAAGTATTTGAAGCACTCTCAATGTCTTAGAGTCGAAACGCAGGAATACCCAGGATAATTCAGCCTTATATCGAATTTGCACAAGACTGACAAAAACTCGATCATGTAGCGAAGAGTGTCTGGAATTTTGTACAAGACGATATTTGGTTTGTGATGTATTTTCTGAATTCCAGAATGATGTATTTATAGACCATATATGTGTTGTTTCACAAGGTTGTGACCCTTGATGAAATAACACCATTTAACCAAAAGTTGCATTGTTTTCAAGCATTACTTATGTTCATTCCGCAACAACACTTCACTTGTATATTTTCTTGTAATTTTACAACAATCTCCCACTTGTTCTAATAATGACAAGACCAATTTCAGAAAAAGAGAAACAAAGAATGTTAATACAATTGTATCTTTCAGTTTGAACTTAACCTTAGTAAGAATAACGCAAAGTTTAATCGGAATGTTAAGTAGCGATGCTTTGAACTGTTATTCTTTGTGATTAAACCGACATTATCTTACACACATTTTTTAATGGTTCTTCGCCTACATCTCTCACCTAACACTATTTATGGCTATGTGTTTTTCCTATTTTCATGAGTTTTTCATGAGAGAAACTCCAACTCTCACTTTAAGACGACACAATCTCGAAATTCACATAGGTGAAGTTCATGTTGTATCCTTTTTCATGGGACACATACCCTCGGTATTTAAATTCATTAAGATTTTAAATAAAAACTCAAATCTCATTTTAAAGGTCAACATTATCATGAAATGTTCGACAAACATCCAAATCAACAACTTGTTACCCATTTAATCTTGAGGTTAATATTCTACTAACATAAGATTGGGTTGTCACCGCTGTCGGAACTCTTACTCAAGGAGTTTCAACCCCATACCTCTCGAGGTTGTTTTTACTAAGTCTCTGTCCAGTGGCTTAGTAAATAGATCAATAAAATTATAGTTCGATCGTATATGTGTGAATGGTTACATCCTTAATCAATTTTTTTCACGAAAGAATGTCTAAGACCTACTTGAGTAGACTTTATGTTATACACTACCGTAATGTATCAACACCTTTAAAACATTATCTTTAGTCAATGGAACTTACAACAGAAGGTCCCTCAACCATTCAACTTCTTCACAAGCGAAAGAAAGAGCCTCGAACTTCAATTATATGGTTGAGAGAGTGATCCACATTTATTTCTTGATCTTCCAAGAAATTACACCCTTTGCTAGTGTAAATATCTCACCCAAATGCATATTTTTGATATTCAATACTCGACATCCAACTCACGTCGGTATATCATTCTAATATGGCAGGAAATCTACCATAATGGAGACCAAGATTTTTGGTTTTCATAAGATATCCAAAATTTTCTAATGATGGCCCTCTAGTGCTCACCATTTAGATTAATAGTAAAATCTACTAACTTTACTATTTGCAAATGCTATGTCGGGTCTAGTACATTGCATGCACTTGCATATTCCAATTGTGCCACAACTCATCCATCATCCTTTTGAAGTTTGACATTAGAAGTGGTCACTTCCTTAAAGCATAAGTATTGGTACTTATCAAGCGCTTTCTCAACATAGCGTGTTTGACTAAGTTCTTAACCCCCACTATTTCACTTTAATTTGATCTCCAAAAATGTGTCAACTAGTTAGATCATTCATCTAGAATGTGGAAGTTAAAAGCCTCTTTGTTTCTAAAATTCCATTCATCTTGTTGCTAATGATCAATCATATAATCAACATGAAAACAAATGAATATCACAATATTCTCACATAACTTTGTGTACAAACACTTGTAATAAGAATCAGATGAAGAATGTTTTTAGATAATCATGCATGATGATGCAAGAAGGTTTTAGATGAAGTGAGAGATGAAATTATGAGCAATTTAAAGTTGTATAATATAAATTGCAATGAGCACCTTATTTATGTTCACTTGTCTCAAATCTTCACATGAATTTATATGCTAAACCTTCTTGATCAACTTCATCATTGATGAGCATGACACTTTTGGACCTTTTCTTCTTTGATAATATTTGCCTTCATTAAAATAGAACTAGATATAAAATGTATTCTTCACAATCTCCCCCTTTTGATGATGACAAAATCTTTTAATTCTTCTTTTGAAAATGATTGAAGAGTCTCCCCTTAAATTGTGTGTCTCCTCTTTAATTTGTGA